GTGTCAATGTTTGTGTTCTTTGACCACAACAAAGATAACATTTTTTCACTATCACAGCAAATGTATATACCTAAGAAAGTCAACCTAAAACAAAGATGAAACCCCCGCTCCTCATTTCTAAACAAGAGAAAATCATTTACTAACCGCATAACAATGCATATCTATATATTATTATGTAATTCACTCTAAATAAATGAAGATCACATTACAAGTCAAATAAACTCAAAGGAACTGTCAATATCTTTGTCAAGCAGATCTCAGTCAAACAACTAATTCCAATATGGACATTCAATGTCTCCGTCCATCTTGGTAGCTACAGCATGGTTCTTTCTCCAAAAATAAAAGAGCATAGCAAAATGTTTTAGTAAATACATGGAGGCGACGCGACATATGAACTCACATCACCGCAATGACCACGAACACTGCAGTCAGCCGATAAATAAATTTCTCCAACCAGGATCTTGAGAGTACATTTTCAACTCCATTAGTACGTCTTGCAGCTTCATTTGTACCCAGTTTCGCCTCACGATGGTTCTTTTCTTCTATTGTTAACACCAATTTGTCAAAAAAATCTTGGAAAAAAACAGATAAGCAGTTCAGAATAGCAATGACACAAAACAATTCAGAAAAGCAAGGAGGGGATGAGGCAGGGGGAGAGAGGAGAAAGGATGGAGGAGCCGGTCGGCCCAAGTCCGGCGGGCGGCGGCGGACCACCGGTTCGCAGCAAGCCTGCAGATCCCACCGGTGGTATTGAATTTGGGGTGTTGATTTTGCAGGTCAATTGTTGATTGGGATATATAGTACATGGATTTGTTCGGTTGCATTTTTTATACATCGAAAGAGTCTGCTTCCCGGTTGCGAAGCTATTCACTGCGGAGGGGTGGAGCCCGCCCGCGATTTGGATACGTTAGTTGTTTTTTTGTCCGTCTTGTTCTTTTTCATGCACAGGAAGCTGTGACTTGTTACTGTATTAGAGCTGCATTTTTCAGTAAGCTTAGTAGTAATATACTCCCTCCGTAAACTAATATAAGAGCGTTTAGAACACTAAAATAGTGATCTAAACGCTGTTATATTAGTTTACAGAGGGAGTACATACAATATTTCGAGGATGGACATTGTTTTGCACTGTTGCGGTACCTTGTCTGCATGCCTGTTTTGGGCTTGTTTATATTGTGATCACATACACCATCTAGAATTCGTCACACTGGAATCTGAAGGAAATCCGCAACTAAGGCTCCGTTCGGAATCCCTCCGCTCCATAACTCCGTCGCGGAGCAGAGCGGCATACGGTACAAATACGGAGAGCGGCAAACAAGCTGCTCCGCGCGCTTCGCTCCCTGGTGACAGAGCGGTGGATTGCTGAACATAGCCTAAATTAGTGTATTTGGGGAACCCGAGATTAGTAGAGGGAGTTGTGGAGAGTGATTTTTTCTTTTTGGCGAATTGTGGTACCATATATGGACTGGCTAACACCTGTGGCGACTATTAATGTTTTGGGATAGTTGGGAATTCACATGGTATCTTTACCGACCGAGGCTTCGCTGGTGGCTCTATATATAGAGGTAACCACACTTCGAATGTGTTTGATTCAAAGAACATAGAAACACAATGATGAGATTTAGAATGACATCCCCACATCTACCTTATGAAGTGAGTGTAACTTTTTTTTACCGAATCATTGGTTGTAGCTAGCTTAGGACTGGGAGGCACCAGGAAAGCTGCTAGCTCATGGATTCAGAAAAAGAGGATTGGTTAGCTCAAGCTCACAAGATCGACGCGGAGAGGTCGCATTGGTTAGCTCAATCTCACAAGATTGTTCTGCGTAGGGATACAACATCTGCAACGTACAATGTACGTAGGCAGCATCACAGAACCGACGGCCATCTGTGCACTAGTTTAGGCTCCACTACCCGCCCACAAAAAGATGGACGTGCGGTTTAACCCTCTTGTGGTCTGTACAGATCGTCTTTTGGCTACTGTCTCTGCCTCTGCTTCACCCATCCAAGCTTGCCACCGCATCAATGGATCAACAACAAATGGGCGTGCGGTTTTGTAATGTCAATGTTTGCATTCTTCGACCACCGCAAAGATAACATTTTTGCGATTACAACAAATATTTCAAAAGATCACTAAGGTATATACTAAGAAATCAAACTAAAACAAAGATCAACCCGCACGCCTTGTTTTTGAACAGGAAAAAATCAGTTACTAACCACATATTAATGCATACCTATATGTTATGTAATTCACTCAATTGAAAATCACATTATAAGTCAATCAAATAAACTCAAAGGAACTGTTAATATCTTTGTCAAGCACATCTCAGTCAAACAAGTAACTCCAAGATGGACATTCCATGCAGATGCCTGAGGTTTTAACCTCCTTTTCGAATGAAAAAAATAGAAAACGGGGCATGCGTTATACAGAACTAAATCAAAACTAGTACAGTAAAGCTGAAGGAAGTGGTTTTTTTTTTCTTTTTTTGCGGGAAAGAAGTGTTTGTAGGCAAGCTTACACTTGCAATGATGTGGGATCTGCGCATCACCAGCACCGGTTGTCTCAAATTCTAAGTTCAAGTCTCAATTACAGCATGAGTCTTCAAGCCCGATGGTTATATACTTGTCTTTCTCAGTGAAGCTTAAATTTGACATATGGAGTACGAGTACAGCCAGCACTAACAATAGCTTGTTTGAAAACTTGTAAAAAGAGCTTGCAAAGTACTTGCATCCATAGTGGAAGACTGCAGCCTGAGAGTGCATTGTAAGTTGTGAGACATTTTCCCCTCAAAAGACTATCATTAGAGTCGGAAGTATAGGAACTTGGCAACGAATTGGCAGATTTACCCAAATGATAAGTGACACAAGTGTGTCACGAAGCAACAAGGTCCAAATGCTTCCATTACCATCCATTTTTTCACGTTAAACAGATGAAAATTTTATTAATTGACCATGGCAATTTTTAGTAATTAACCACGACAAATTTAATTTGTGGATCATGGCAATGTTTAGTAATTCATCATGGCAAGTTTAGTTTATAAATCATGGCAATTTTAGTATTTTGACCATGAAAATTATTTTTTGTATGAACCATGGAAAATTTTAGTGCATGTATCATGTCTAATTTATGTAAATCACCATTGCAATTTTAGTTTCTGGTTCATGGAAAATTTGAATCATTGACCATGCATTTTAAAGGAATTGACGAGGAATTTCTTTTTAATTATGAACCATGTCAAAAAAATTTCATGGAGCATGGCAAATTTTAGCAATTCACCATGGCAAGTTTAGCTTCTTAATTCCCTTTTCGATAACATGTCAAAATTTACTTTAAATGTAGAAGAAAAAGTAGTTGAAGCATATTATGGCAACTTTAGTGTAAATACCATGGCAATTTATGTGCAATGGACATGGCAACTTTTGACCGCCAAAAAATATCGTCGAAACATATCGATATGAGATCTAGTTTTGAAGTCTTTGTCGTGGCGGATTTAATTGTGAAAATGAATTTTCAATCAGATTTTTTATTTAAGAGATAAAACATTTTAAAGTTTGAAAACCCAAAAGATTTCCGCTGACATCATCTGTTTTTCGTCCCTATTTACATGCATGTGTGAAAAAAATTAAAAAGTTTGACGTGTCATAATGGATGGTTAGAAGAGTGTGTGGCCCGAGCTCCTTTTTAAGAGTCATGTCATTAGAGTTGAACACTTGTCTTATAAATTCTGCTGCATGCAGAGCACAAGTCTAATGTCTAACCATGAACAGTTGAAGCATCTAGATCTAGCAGCAGCCGATGAATCTGTTAACTTGGTCATCCGTAGGTTTTGTATATATGGTCCTGGAGACGTAATTCTAGGCAGATGCAAAAGGCTCACCAAAACTCTGATGGCAACAAGTGTCCCCATCAGAGGAGTTTTTACCTTAACCGGTGATTTTCGAATCATCGTGTTTCGTTTAGTCTAGTTTGTAAGGTACTCCTTCCGTCCCAAAATTTTTGTCTTAAATTTGTCTAGATACGGATGTATCTAATACTAAAACGTGACTTGATACATCCGTATTTAGACAAATCTAAGACAAGAATTTTGGGACGAAGGGAGTATGTTGGATAGGGCCGGACCTTTTTTTTCTCTTGGGGGCCAGCCGTACGCGGATCATTTTGAACATCGGGCCAACCAAGGCTTCTAGATGAGCCAGTGTTCTAGATCCCCCCCTGCTTGAAATACTGCACTTACGACATACTTCTTCTATCTCAAAATTGCTCAAGCGGTACATGAATTTTTCTATTAAAAACAGAAAGCCTTGGCTCTAATACGTTGTATGGTTCAATCACCTCTAGCAGACCTTAATCAACGACCTGCTCAGCATGAAAAGTATACCACAAATGACAGCTTGAGATAACAATAGCATCTGCATTTTGCTAAGCTCTGTTCTCCAGCAACTCAAAACATAAAATCACATCACGCCGTCAACATGCCAGCATGGCCAGGAGATAAATGGAACCACCGGAGAACTCAAAGGCGGTGATATTAAAACAAAGCATTCATTGAAAAAAGAAATCCTGAAACAGAGTTTGCTGTAAAACAAAGGTAACAAGAACGATGCTTGCGTTTCTAGAGACCGCAATAGAGTTGAGAACTATGGGACTAGTTCCTCAATTCTCTGAAACTTCTTACTCCCCCCGGCCCTTATTAATTGTCGCTGATTTAGTACTCCCTCCGTTGGGAATTAATTGTCACAGAAATGGATGTATCTAGACGTATTTTAGTTGTATATACATCCATTTTTATCCACTTTTGAGACAAGTAATTTGGAACGGAGGGAGTACAACTTTGTACTAAATCAGCGACAATTAGGATCGGAGGGAGTAGTAGATTCCCATCAACCAAGAAATCTAAAGTTAAATCTGAACCTACATAATGTCCTTCTGGATGTCTTCTTGAGGCGTCGATATGCTTGAATTGGCTTTTTGGAAACAGTCTTTGGTTTTGAACAGTTGCAGTGTCAAAGCTTCAGAGTCGTATCAATGTTGTTCATTTCACTACTATAGACCACTGTGCTCTCCCTTGATGTTGCGAGGCCAGCAAACCAATGCAGAATATTACCTTGAGGTGGTCCTGCTTGGAATTCATCCGTATGCATGACCATGAGATTCTTTGCTGCAGCAGTTATAACAAGGGCTTCATTGGAAGGACCATCTGGTTCTTGAGGAACAGTGTCGCCTTTTGACTGGCGGGCATCCATCTCTGTAACATCCATGAACGGCAGTGCAACGTTCAGGTCAATGAGGTTTCTGACACTGGTGCCATCCTTCTTGTTCTGGAATTGCATTTCCATGTCAGCTACACCCTTGCTCGAGGGTGTGCTGTCTGCGCCCATGTGTGTAGTGGACGAAGTGGATGAGCGTTGAGAATCTTTCTCGGTGGCTGCACTTATAGTGAAACCAAGGATTCTTGTGCTACCTCCTGAACAACCCATGGAACCAGGCGAAATCTGGGAATGCCCATTCTCACGAGTCGGTGACACTTGTGATTTCTTCATGGTGATTTTCTTCGTCAAGTTTTGCAGCTTCTTTCTGTCCCACGAGATTTCCTTTGATGCATTCTCACTTGCTTGTCCCAGAGTGGCAGTTGCATCACGAGGACCATTGTTCAGATTCACATCCCTGGGACAATCATAAAATGGGGAAGGATGTTGATACTGAGCCCCTCCAGGAATCTCTGATGAATGAAGGCGGTGATATCTTTGAAACATTGGAAGTCGGCCATTCTGAGCACTGGGCAATTCAGCGTCAGCATAATGCCTCCTAGTCATGTAATCTGTGGCGCTGCTTTGCCATAGAGATCTGGGTGCAGCATTGGAGCTGGATGCTACAAATATTCCTGGATTGATGATGCTAGAGCTGGACTGGTAATGCACAGTTGAGGAATCAACACCAGTTTTCTTGTGTGTGAGCCATTCCATGCCACTGCTTCGATCTAGAAAAGGAAAATAAGATACACTTAGTGTGCATTGATGCTTAGACATTGGTTTAAAACATAAAGATATACAAGTTTCTAAATAAATTAAGAAAATCTTACCTTTTAATTTATGGTCGTATGAATAACACTGGTTCTTAGAACTGGAGGCACCCACACTTGGGAAGTTTGTTTTCTTCATAGTGCTAGATGACCCTATCACTTTTTTGTTCAAAGCATTCACTGTTGAGACACCTGATGGCTGTAAACCAGTGGCCCAATTCTTGTCCATGGGTGAGGTGCGTTCAATGCTAAGCTTCAGGTTTGTACCAACAACTGAACCACTATTTCTTGGCAAACTCTTTGCAGGATTCTCCCATACTGTCACCACATCATCATCACTATCATCTGCATCAGCTGGAACCTGAAGGAGCATTTCTTTTGTGGACCCGCTATTGCTATGCCTCATAGACACTCTGTTCAAGCTACGCTCTATATTTTTTCCCTTCATGAATTTTCCAGAAGGTTTCCTCACATCATGTCCTGTAGGAGGCCCCATTTGCTGGACTCTTCTTATACCCCCAGATGGTAATGAATATGATATGGCTTGAGAATATCCCTTTGATTCACCTCCTCGGCATTGTAATGCCATTAGGTCCTTCTGAACCTTGTACAGACGATGAAGTTCATAGACCTATAAATAAAGGTGTCAAAACCGTATAGGAATGAGAAACAATTACGCCTATGGACAAATATAAGAAAAAACACATCACTTGCGTATGTAAGCAATCTCTAGATTACTGAAAGCACATAGTATGGGCGATGTCATAATCTACCTGTTTCTGGAATGTAGCTTCCTGTGCAAGTATATTCTGCTTTAGCATTTCCTTGTCAGCATATGCAGATCCATTTGTGGGTGTTATTGTGAAGCTGTTACTAAGATGCTCAATTGGTTTATTCTCCATGTGTTATGATAACCACCAATTGCGTTTCAAGTTTACTCTACAATCTGAAAGTGTCCGAGTACCGAGTATTGTGGAAGATTCTTGTCTTCAACTTTTGTTCCTGGTCCTAATAAATATCCACAGATAAATGATGGGTTATCGTAGTATCTTCAAATGTATAAGAAGGATATTTAGAACAAAATAAATGCATGAACTTGGTATCCTTTTTCTTTTGTGACTGATTTGGTATATTCAGTCAGAGCCTTAAAATGGTTCAACATGTATGATTTGCACACTCATACTACACAGTGGCAATTAAGGCATTAGGAACCCAACCAAGTATGACTTCACACCACAGCAAAGATGCATCACTTGACAGATACTCGGAAAATTCTGATCAACAAGCGATAGAAAACAAGAAAGGATGCCTCGTACTTACAAAGTTCTCGAATGTGAAGCAATGGTGTACAAGGAGTTTTATCCAGCCAAGAGTCCTTAGATCACAAGAAACTGGATTATGTCTGCTGGCTTAATCAATTCCTCCTTATCTGAAGCAGACAAAAGCGGCTAGCTTGCGTCAGCAAGAAGAGACCTCAAATTTGGCATTTATGGAAAGTAAGGACACATACATAATGAAGATGAAAATAAATGCAAAGCGAGGAAAATCGTAGACAAGATCCAGATCTGTAACAAAATGTGACAGGAAAAGGATTCCAAAGATGAAATGTGTAGAAAACAGAACTTTACAAAGCAATTCCACGAACCTTCACCGCCACAAACTGTTGAAGAGAAACTAAAAGAAGTAGGAAACACACAACAAGAGGGGGCAAGGCAGGATCAACAAGCAAGGAGGAATAGAGGTGATCTCCCCGTGCCCCCACACCTTTCTGCCCAGGGCGTACCAAAAGATCATAGCAAAAACAAATAGATGGGAAAGAGCAGATTTCACACAAACAAAATCAAGCATAACAGCGCAGAGGCTAGAGAGCTAAACTCCCAAGAACACGAGAGAATTTTCAGCTCACCTTATCACACGATACTGGTGAAAGATGTCCGTCTACCCTTTTTGTAGATAACCTTGAGGTGTTTCGTTCTTTATTAGGAGTGATTATAAAGATTTCATTACGATTCAATGACAACTCGACATGGACACTGATGAGCTCATTTGGCCTTTCAATGCTTTTTGTTTCTAGTGCTATATTAATGCATTAATTTATGAGAGATTTCGTCATTTTGGGCTGGATTTTGAGCACATTCAATTACATGTAACTGACCCATTGCTTCTTTTTTTAGAAGATATTTTCTCCCCCGGGTGGTTGGACTGACACACGTCCCCCCTATGTGACACGGTACACTCACTTCCTTTGTGCCAGGTTCATCTACAAGCTATATCTGAACCATTTAGTGTGCATTCTGACTTGTGTTGTGTGCCGTGATTCCAGCTGTATTCAATTTTTATATGGTGTACTTTGGTGAATTTGCTAGAAATTCTGACATGGTTCAAGGTGATTTGACTTGCTACATGTATGTGGATGAGCGGGATGCATTTGTGGGGCATGTCATAAAGCATGATCTCTCTAAAAGAAGATACTTGTGATTTTCGGATGCCTTTATGAGAAGAAAAGTAAAAGACAAGTCAACTTTTTGTCTTGATTATCATGGGGAGATTGTATTAACATGTTGCATCCATATAAAATTGGGTGACATTTCTTTAAAAAGAATCTTCAGTATTGGTTTATGTGAAAAACTTATTTCGCACACAATTATATGATTCTCATCATTTGCAGGCATGTTGCAGAACAAAATAATTTACAATTGTATCTTTAAACTTCTAAAACATCTTGCAAGCCATTTCTTTCTTGTTCCTGATAGACATTCTGCTTGGTAACTTAAATATTCTGGTTTGGTGCATCCCAAAACTCATAGCCCTGTCAATCTCCTTTTTTGAAGGAAATGCTAATGTATGACCCAGATGCATGCCAAACAAAAAACATCATGTGTGAATAGTTATCATAAATATCACAGCAACCTAAATCAGGCTTCTTCATATCTTAGCAGTGAGTTAAAACTTGAAACAGGAGAGAAAAAAAGACCTTATAACATAGCATGCCATTAACATGTATACAAAGCATGAAAGACAACGAAAAAAAATTACAAATGGATGATTTATATTGTTGTATGAGATACAAGCTTGATACCTGACTCAGAATTTTACCGAAGACTGTATGCTGCTTCATCTCTAAGACATTCTTATGAAGTGGTACATGCAAAAATAAAACACTCAACTATTCCACTTTTCCAACATAATCACTTTGCTGCTACAATATAACTATCAAAATCACTTCTTCTATTTTATTCTGAGGTCTTCTCACTTTCTTATTTTTTGTTTTGATTTTGATTGACCAGAAAAAGTGAAGCATTAAAAGTACCAACCTATGAACTATTCGATAAACCTAGCACTATATTGGTAGTGTTTGGTCAGTCCATTCCATCACCAGCTTTCATCTTAACATAGTAGCAGTTTGTGACAGAGCAAACCTGATGGCAGAAGAGCAGATGCTGAGAAATCCTTGAACGGATCTCTGGGTTCTCAATCCATCGTGGGCAATTCTGTAACACGACACAACGTTGTCTTCTTGTTACATGTCACAACATCTTTTTGGTTGCAGGATTCACTGGAGCCAGTGCTTCCGTACATAGATTGAACATTTCACATGTTTGTCACTGCGACATGAGAAACTGAGCATGCCGTTGGCAAAGGACTCACTGCACAAGGATCTCATGACCTGCTGGAATGCAGCCAACATCCTTAACACGAACTCAGACTGTCAACCATCTCGGATATCTGGTATGAGTCTGAGTATTTTCTGCCCCCCGCTGTGAACTCATGGAATGCTTCATCAAGTTCAATCCAATTTAACGCTGCTGACTTTTGAAACCCAGTTCCTTTCATTTGTATCCTTGCTTTCGCCATATCCCTTCACTGCCCAGCCTCAGCATAGATGTCCCAGCTTACCGCCTCCTTCTCTGGCATCTCTTCAGACATCCACCTCGCATTGGCCACCTCCCCCTGTCGCACCATCGCAGCCATGGCCGTGCTCCAGGACACGATGTCCCGTCTCGGCATTTCCTCGAACACCTTGCTGGCGTCCAAGAACCCGACCCGTTCCTGTAGCATGGGTCGATCAGCGCGTCCCTGAGCGCGTGTGAGGAGATAAGGTTGGAGTGGCGAGCAGGCCGGGGTGGAGACCGTGGTCAAGCAGCTGTGCATGGTGGAGGTGCGGCAGGCCGTGGGGGCAGTAACGGTAGGTGCTGCTCCACGGGCAGGCGCCGCGAAGGCGCACCTCACGGCGGCGGTGGTGGACATTCGCGGTGGCGCCGCCGTGGTTGCCGGCAAAGAAGGGTCAGTTGTTGGCAGTTATTGCAGGAGAGGGGAGGGGAAGGGAGCTGCTCAGGCGAGGAGAAGGAGACAGAGGAAGGGCGGCCGTCAGCGCGTGGGTTCCGGCGGAGATTATTTTCTTTTAAGAAACTCGTCCCACTTTATTAAGATTCAGAAATGTTTATGGGTACAAGAATTTTGTCTGGGATCCCAAACCACAAATGGCGACCTACTCCTAAATAACAAGAGTACTAGCTTGATTATGAGTTTCAAAATTAAACTATCTACGTTCGTAAATCGTAAATAAAAGTGCATGAAAGAAAATCCCTTGAGCGGCTAATAATCTCTTTGACAATCGCTCCATGACGCCCATTCACAAGATTTTGGTCGTAGGAGGATGGAGCTGAAGCAATCCATTCACAAGCCTAGATTGGCCTAATTAACTGTAGAACGAGGAATTTGTCACGGACTCACGGGAGAAGCTTCCCTCTAGACATCAATTGCAAAAAGTTTAGAGTTGCAAAAAAGAAAAGAGCAAAAAAAATTAACACTCAAAAATCCAGCGGCCAGAAAATGTATATATGCATGGTTTGAAAATACAACAGAGTGAGGGCGTGAGAGCACATTCACAATTTCTCTAAATGTAGCATAATACAATTGCTCATTCTATTCTACTTTTCCATGGATGGGTCCCGACATTCATGAAGAAGGCATATAAACGGGTTTATTCAAAAAAAAAACCCCAGAACAAATGTTGGAAACTTTGTTGGGCTTGAATGGTAGCAAACTATATATGCACATTAGAGTAAAACGCATGAATGGTTCTTAAACTTGGTGGCTATGTCTTTTTCTTTTTTCTTTTTTTTGCGGGCTCAAACTTTGTATTACTCATTCAAAGTCACATTACAATCTTCTGAACTATCCCCAACACCTCAGGAGGACCTGACCCTAACCCAAGTCATAGTCCTTTTATTAATACGACCAAAGGAAGTTAACTTGTCGCTCGCTTTATTCTACGAATGAGCGACGTGAGTAATACAAGTTTGATGAGAAATAAGTAAACCTCTAATCCCGTTAACTAACAACGAGTAGATCAATCGATCAATGTCTCCACATGTGATCATGGAAACTGCCACTGAGGAATCCATCTCAACTTCGATCGGCAGTTATGTACGTTGAATTGATGAGGACAAACCCTCCAAGCAGGCGGAAAGCTCCGCCTCTAGCACATCTTTGCATGAATACAAGGCTCTGCAAGCTGCAAAAATAATCCTCCCTGCCTCATCCCGCAGGATCATGTCCGCACCAGCTTCGTCACTTGACACAAAAGCGCCATGAGTGTTTAGTTTTGTCCAACCGTTCTTCGGTTTTGCCCAGGGCGACTTGGATATATAAGTAACAGGCTGCACCACAGACTCCATGGTGACATATGCTTTGCCCTTCACCGGATCCGCACCATTGTCATGTTTGATTGCCAACAGTGACTCAAAGTAGCTTCGTAGGTGTCGGTGTCAAAACCGGCGGATCTCGGGTAGGGGGTCCTGAACTGTGCGTCTAGGCCGGATGGTAACAAGAGGCAAGGAACATGAAGTTTTATCCAGGTTCGGACCCTCTCGATGGAGGTAAAACCCTACGCCCTGCT